AATTGATGTCAGCTTCGGATTGATTTTCTAATTTCTTCCCAATAATTTTGATTCATCATGTAGTTGCAATTTTTTAAATAAAATTTTACGTGATTTAGCTAGGTTACTTAGGGTGGTGGCACTGGTTTCACATATCTTATTCGTGTGTAAGATTTTGTGGGAAATTTTGCAAAATTTGGTTCACATCCTGGAATAGTCAACTGTTAATGCATCTCTTATAGTAAGAGTTTACAGGATTGTTGCTGCATTTTTTGTGGTTGTGTTCCATCCTAAACATAATTGCAGTAGTCAGATGAAAGTTGATTTTTCTTGGATCATGTCTCTACTTTTGCAGGATACTTCAAAAGAACTCATTAAGCAGGACTGGAGATCTTAGATAAAGATCTAGATTTTTCAGTGTATATTTCTAAATGGACACTGGTTCTTCTCATCGGACTACTCACGGGCCTTGTTGGCTTCTTCAATAATCTCGGGGTTGAAAATATTATTGGTTTCAAGCTTTTGATTACGAGCAATTTGATGCTAGAGGATAAATGAGTCTAACTCCAACTAGAGTAAGAATTCTGGAGAGGGCAAGGCGCTTGTTGGGGAGTTTGGACGCTTTGGTAAACTGCTATTCCTATGAAGGTATTGTTATTTTAATTAGGTCAGCATTCACGTGCCTTATTTGTTTGGAAAATCTTGATGGGGTGTGAGACTGAGGTAGACTATTTCGGTTCGATTGTCTGTGAGTTGAATTACGATTGGTCGTAAGTTAATTTTAGTCTATTCTAGGAGTATGTTTTTTATTGTAGTGAAGAGTGTTAAAGTAAAAAGGGTAAAATACTTTTTCCCATCCAAACTATCACGGTTTTGGCGCATCACCATATAAACTATTTTTTTTTTACAAACCACCATATGAACTATACGGGTTTGTCAATGTGCCCCCTAAACCAGATATAAAAGTGGTTTTGACTGAAAAAGCTGTTTGGTCACCATATGTGCCCCATAAAATCTTTTACAAACCACCATATGAACTATCACGGGTTTGTCAATATGCCCCCTAAACCACTTTTATATCCGGTTTAGGGGGCATAATGACAAACCCGTATAGTTTATATGGTGGTTTGAAAAAAAAAATAGTTTATATGGTGATGCGCCAAAACTGTGATAGTTCGGATGGGAAAAAATATTTTACCCAAGTAAAAAAGTTTTCAACTTTTATTTACTTGATAGAACTTATGTAAACATTTTCCTACAAAACTCCCTTTCTTGAGGTCTCAGTCAGATCTGTGAAGAGCTCCTCCATTTTTTCCTGCTGGAGGTTCGTATATCTTTTCGTTGTATTCCCCTCGATGAAATTAGAGTATTTTCATTGTACTTTTATCCTTCATGCTC